ACCTTATTTACATTGAACCTTATGGGGAAATTTGATTCGGTTCGCGACCAGAATCGTGGAATGAATTAAGTTCGTGAACCGAGGTACCACTGTAATTGCAAGAACAGAAGCTTTTTCTTTCAACAGGAAGTCTTAGAAACTGTCAGTTACTGAAATGTTGTTTCCCAGAATTTGAAATGTAATTGGCTCATACCAATTTCCTCATTATAACTCACAGCTATTGCACTAAAATAATAAAGTAGTGAGCGTGTCATATTTTTTACAAGAGTGCTTGGGAATCATTTGCTTGGCAGATGAGAGGATGGAGGAAATAACATATTTTGACATGCTGAATGTCAAAGAGTGACCATAGCTGGGTTGCAAAAACCCAATCACAAGATGGCAGCAAAGAGATATTTGCTCACATCTAGGGTTTATCTGGATTTTTCAGCCCAAACCTAGTAGTCCTGCTGAACACAGGAAATGCAGAAACAATTCCTTACTCTACCAAGTGAAATGTATTCTGGCACAGCTATAGTGCAGCTCAGATTGTAAAATTACCACCTGAATTCAGAGCTTTCTGGTGGCTGATTTCTCAGCAAAATGTGCTCTGATCCTTCCAGTCAGTTTCCTAGCTCCTTTAAAAAATGTCAGTCTTGATGTTCTGTGTTGTATATGCAGTGTAACAAACTCGTCTCATTTCACATTTTACCTTTCAAGGAAGCTTTCCTACTCACATATACACACATGTCTATGCAGATATTTTATACTACAATGTGGTTGCAGCTGCTAGAAAAGGTCAGTGCTACAAAGCTATATCATGCCATTTTTGCAGACTTCTGTGGGAATTTATTTGCAGAAAGAATGATATTTTGATGCCCAGAAAATTTTCTCCAGATCAGATATTTTTTAGAAAATGACCAAATTCACATGGCTTATACTGAAAACATGGCGACATCAGCAAATTATTCTTCCCATATCTGTGTAGAACGGAGGCAAGCAGATTTTTGTTACTGCAGGAAAGTGCTCTAATTCAGAAGCCAGGACACTGACTAAATGTTAATTTCTGCATACTGTTAGTTAGCCAAAAGAAGCACTGACTGGTTCCTGGGATCTCCTGCCTGTTCTCAGTGTTCTGAGGTCAACAGAAGTGAGTACAGACACGTGGTTGATTGCCAACATTTTGCACGGATTGAAGAGCCAGTGGCAAATGATGGTTTCAAACTGTGCTTTATTTTTCCTTAAAGCAAATAGATGATTCTCTGACCCTTTTAGTATATCATGTTAATCAAAATGCTGATGAGCCATTGTGTCAACCCAGCCATAGTTTTAAGTAGACACCTGGGTTGTCTGGATTCCCATATCAGAAACCAATTTTGTTAAATTTTGTTATGAATAAACCAGGAACCAATCTCTGGCTTCTGAGAGAAATTATATTTATTTATTTAGAACACTTATATGACCACCCTATGCCAGTAACATGAAGCATACAAAATCACTAAATAAAAAACAAAAGGAGAACAGCCACTAAATGCCACTAAAACAAAATAAACCCCCAGAAACTAAAATTTGTTATATCCCGCCAACTAGGAACTCTGATCCTCCTGACCTAAGCACCCAAGGAAATATCTAATTAGGATCATGAGAAAGTAATGATACGCTATCTGACATAGCTTTGTGAGTAATATTTAATTCAAGCATCTGAATGAACTCTAGAAATGTCCTGGGGACACTGAAGGTGTAATGCAAAGTTTTCTACTTCAGTGAAGGTACATGAAATTTTCTCATAGAAAAAAAAGGATCAGCTTGCACACATGAGAGAGCTGAGAAAGCATCAAAGTAATGCACTGGTCTCTGGGCTGGTATTGGATGTAATACAAAAAGACCTGGAGATTTTCTGTCCTGCAAAAGAATAGAGAGATACAAACCTCCCATACTTCAAATGAAGACTCATTTTATTCAACTGAGTCCCAGAGAGGTTGATTCTTATTTTCATTAAAAGTAGAGAGGTTGATTCTTGTTTTCATTAAAAGTATTCAGTGCAGATCACCCCATGATTGATAGCAGAGCCCCCACAAAAAAATAAACATAGCAAAAAAGTTTATTATGATGAAACATATTTCTTATGAAAACATGCTGAACTGATTAAACCCAAGATCTAAAAAGCTACTTTAGAAGACCTCACTGGATTATATATGTAAGAGGACAATCCCTGCTCCATCCCAGCATACAACTGAGTTAATTTTATTACTAAAATTACTACTGAAAAACAAGATCTGTTAGAGACACAAAATTTTTAATACTTGTGTCTTATTTCACATGGACTCAATTACAGTGGCAGTGGTACACTGCTAAAAGTCCTTAAGGGCCAGGTTGGGGACAGATTATCCCGGAAAAGATTATCAATTGCTGAGAGTTGACACCAATTTGACGGTACATAATCATCGATCATCTATTTCACACTAGATATTAGCTTACATGCATGTGCTTATTTGATTTGCAAATTAGATTTTTTTTCTGATGTCTGAGTGATAGTGTTATGTCAGGATAGGTACTGGCTTATTGAAAAGGGGCAGGCAAAATTTTATAAAGATATTTATTCATTTCTTAGATTTTTTAAATTGCTTATTTGAACAATATAACCTATTCTCAAGAGAGCCCTTATAGAAAGTAGAGCTAAACCAAGAAAAATATCCTAAAATCAAACTATTTTGGATGTCTGATCTACCAGCACTCAAATACTATTCTTTAAGCACATTTCTTTTTCTGCCATACAACCCAGTCTCTATCTTCCCAAACCAGTTTACAGCCTTTCGTCTTACTATAGTTTAACAATATAACTAGACATCTCTACCAATAAACTTTGTGATTTTATATGAACCTAGCCCTTAAGCATTCATAACTGTCAGGATTAAATTATTTCTTATTTCTGTTTCACTGAAGTCTTTTTAAAGGCAAGACAATATAATATTTTTATGATTACATCTACAAGTTTGTGGCATTGTAGGAAGAGAGCCACGTTAGTCTACTATGGCAAAAAGTGAACTGCAGCTCACAAAATCTGATGACTTTTAATAAAATCTGTTGGTCAGAAAAGTTAATTTTGTTATTCCTAATTTTGTGGAAGTGCACCACTTCCAAGCTCACTTCTTTCCCAAGTATGGAGGAGACCAGAATCCTATTGCCTTACATATCCTAACCTCTTGATGTCTGTATGAAAGCAAGAATGGGCTGCACACATACTGTATTCCAGCTCTATGTATATAGCCCATACATGCATGATTTTATACACAGAGTCCTTTCTCACCATCAAATGAATGTATGGAAGTTAAGGTTAGGGCATATTGATACAAAGTTTCTACCCTGCACAGGCTCAACCAAGGAATAGAAAGAAAGATGAGCATAGTTTTTGACAAGGATGTCACCTCAAATTCTACAAACCTGAAGATGGATGGCTCTGAGAGTTGCTCTTCTTTATTAACTTCTTGCCTGTTGCAGGTCTTTGGACACATTGTGATCTATTGCAGAGAAAAGCAGAGGCACAACATTAAATAAAAACAATTACACAAGATGTTCTGTGGACCAATAGTTAGAATGTTTGATTTACATATTACAAGTATAGTTCAAATCCTTCTCTGCCTCAAAGTCACTGGGTAGCTAAATGTAAGACACTAGCCCAGCTGAATCATGAAGCTAAATTGAGAAGACACCATTTATCAGCTGAAAACTTGAGTTTTGTGGGAGCATGCATCTTCTTCACCATTTCAATTTCCCTTCAGTTTTAATCAGCTCCTATTCTGACATGTGAACAAGACCACTGTCCATCTTAAACCATATACTATAACTGGCCCAATATAGTCATATCAGGAGTATCCTGGCCCTGGGAATCAGAGTTGACCTGCACTAATTGTGCTCATACAGAGACCAGGAACCACCTGCATTTAAGGAGACATTAAAGTACCATTCAGATCTGGAATGCTATATATCTAGCTCCTAGCAATATACCCTTATTGGAAAAGTCAATTCTGATTCAACTGACCTAATCGCATTTTGCGTGACTTGGCTATCTGCTTGCCCCATGGACTTTGGCTATCAAGTGAAAATTCTGTCTCCTTTTGAATTCAACTGATCTTACAACTATGACCATCCCTGAATGATTGTTTGACTTAACTTGCTAGCTAAATTAACTCCTGCTTCAAAGGCCAGACAGAGCACATGGGCCAATTGCTACCTATCCATTCCACAACTTCCCTTCGTGATTTCAACAAGGAAAAATGTGCAGCTATTAGGGGCAAATTGGGGGTGGCTCTGGACCACAGCACCCAAATGCTGCTTACTTAGCTTACCCCTGTTTCCCTTCTATTGTTTTGCAATTTTTAATGGGAAAAAAGGCAGGCAGAGCCAATCCCCCTCCATATCTGACCTGCTGGGATGGGTAAATAGATTGTTAGATTTGTTGGAGGATCAAACATAGGACTAAGCTGCCCACTAGTTAAAAGGTAAATAACAGATTTCCCCAAGTATACAAAAGAACCAGAAATTTAAAAAATCAAAACAAGTTATAAGCAACTAACTTGAGTCTTTGTTTTGTTTTTGTGCATTTGAATCAGTTTTGACTCCTGGCAACTGCCTGGACTAGTCCCTGCAGTTTTCTTGGCAAGGTTTTTTGGAAATGGTTTGCCATTTCCTTCTTCCTAGGGCAGAGAGAAAGTAACTGGCCCAAGATCACCCAGGTGATTTTGTGCCTCAGGGGGACTACAACTCACAGTCTCCTAGTTTCTAGCCTGGTGCCTTAACCACTACACCAAACTACGTCTCTAACCTTAGTTTTAGAAAATGCAAAATACATTGTACTTATTCAGCACTCTTGTGAAATTCACATATTTTGGTGATACAAAGCCTATGCCAAGAACTCTCATTTTTAATTTAGATTATGATATTATATTCATACATACATTTCCATCATGATATTCCCTTTTACGATAAGCAACATTATGGAAAGCACAAAAGAGAGTAAAAATTTTAAGAAAAAGAAACTGGAGGAGGTAAAAGAAAAGGTAATCTAACTAAATCAACTTTACACTAACATGATTTACCACACCTCTGTGTACTTTCTACAGTTGCACTCTGTCTTTGCTTCCATCATATGAATACACTAAAGATATTACAACAGAAATTTACACAGTGCAAGTACAGAATGTTACTTGCACTATATTCAGTATAATCCATCTCAAATCAGTATTTCATAATTACATGGAAATAGTTGTGTAGGAAAAAAAATAACATAGGAAGCCAGTATTCTTTTTAAAATAGTAACAGATTCTTCAGGACTGGTATACTGTATACTAGTGTGATTGTAAAAAAATAATGAGATGTTTATAAAGCATTACACACATGCAATCTGCAGGGAATCATTGCAAATTCTGGGCTGAAAAACGGAAAACCACACAATGGCAGCAAATAAGAGTTTTCTGCAATTGCCATTTCAGCAAATAGAGCACAGAGGTGGTATGCCTTTTGAAAATGCACTCCTTTGTTCATAAAGTTGTATTAAATATTAAATAAGCAAACCTTGGCTTCAGTTTTCTCTGTGTGTAAGACGAGCGTGAAATGCTGGCTCTTTCCCAATGCTTCTTAGGACCAGCCCGTTTTGTGCTTATTTTCCTGCTTTCAAAAACTTCCTGGTCTAGGAAAGATAATCCACAGAACATAGCTACAGTCATAATTAATTCCAACACACAGTTAAATGAGCTCCAGGGAATGACATAAACATCTACAAACACATCCTTGGTTCATTCATAAGGCATATTAAGACATTATAATGAGTCTAAAACCAGATACAACACATAGAATCTGGTTGGATTTCCCAATTTAAGTACATTACAGAAGGGGAATTCCAAATATCAGCTGTGGAAATGTTGATTTCAGTGGCAACAGAGGTGGTGGAAGGAATTGGTCCAAATTATAACTTCTTTCCATCTGCTTTCAGCTAGGGAGGGGAGAGAGGTTGCCAAAATTTTACAGAATAGATAGCACAAGAATGAGCTTATTCCCAGAGGCATCCACAGGATCTAATGCTTTTGTCAAAAAGACGATAGTGGAGTGCACCATTGTGCTACAAACTTTGCCCTTTTTATACATGCATGCAACATCACACACGGGGAGCTTGCAGCACAACTGTGTAATGTTGCTTTTTCCATTCGCCCTGTTCCAGTAGTGTCTGCACCATTACAGCATTACCAACAATGTCATTTAATGAGTGTGCAGAGACCAGCTCCCACCTCTGATTTACTAAATGTCTATCAAGTAGAATATCATTGTTACTAGAACCAAAAGAATCCCATCTTGCTTGGGAGCAGTCTCCTTATGATTTCTGTAAGATGTACTTTGAGGTTTTATCTCATTTGTGCAGAGCAATAAAACCAAGAACATACATAGCAGCCACTTCATGTATTCACCCTTAAAGGAAATCAATACTGCACCAAGGACTGAACGTATTATGTGATTAGAACACAGAAAATGCTTTAAATGTTGGTACACAAAACAGTCTCAAATAGAAACTATTGTTATTCATAATTTAATGTATTTCTAAGCCTATCCTGAAAAATACCAACATTTATTAGTAAATAATGAAAATGAGGATAAAAATTAGGGGTCTCAGAAAACACCTGGGGATGGAGTAGGAGGTTGAGATACAGTGACAAATGCATGGACACTGAGTAGCACATTAACACTTCCTTCCCATCCCAGAACTGGCGATTTGGGCCATGATATAGCCACTCCTGTCATATGCAATGATTGCTGGAGAAAGGATTCATTTTTTAACACTTTCTCACCATAACACATATTAGTTCAAAACTCGTATACATTTGCAATGGCTATCTCTTTCATTATGGTGGTGGTTAGGACATGGGGGAACCTGGAAGTTCCCAGCATCATTAGCTCAGCACACAGCACTCCAAAGGGTATATAAGGCCTGCAAGTTATCCTCCCTCTCCTTAGTACACGGAAAGTAAATTTAAATGCTTCCTGAGCAACTGACATAAAATCTACAATTAAGGCATTAAATATGGAATCCTATAAATCCTGTTGTTTTCAAAGGAGTTTATGACTAGTACTCTGCCTAGATTGTTATTTAACCTGAACCACTACAATACTGTAGAGTCATAATTTTAAATTAACAATAAACAAGGTAGTACAAGAATAAAAGACTTTCTATTAAATATAGGAGCTCTCACATTTCATGCCTGTGACAAAGTAACATGGGACAGCAACTAGATGTCTTCAAGTTTTGACTTCACCTCCTGACCATCCCAATCAAAATGGCTAATATAAGACATTCTGAAAATGATAGTCTAAAATATCAAGTTCCAAGACATTTTTAAATAGTTACACTTCTCACTAACTAGAAAACAACAGTCCAGTTTTACCTTTCAAACTGCCTGTTCTCCCCATTTGTCTTTCTGTGGGGCTGCTACTTGCAAACAGAGGCTTCAACACTTGTTCTTCAAAATGATTTTGCTGTTTGATAATCTGAGTCCTTTTATTGCCTTCAGAAATTCCCAGATTATTCATATTTTCATCAATCTGCTCCTCGTACATGCTATCATTCTTACAATAATAGGGTCCAGTATGATATGCTTCCTTGAAAAATTCATGTTCTTGACAAAAAAACAAATGACTGGCATTTTCACTCTGGAATCTTTTGGACTTATTGAGATAGTTCAAATAAAAATAATATTTAGCCAAAACACTATCACTGTGGCTGAAATCTAATGGGAATGTATTGTTGCAAAGTAGCTTCTCATGACCATCTCCTTTAACTGTTGTAATGAGGAACTCTTCAGCACCATCTGCTGATTTGAGACCAGTTACAGAAATATTATCATTTATAGAGCCTGGCTCATATTTGGAGAGCTTATGTGCTACCTTGTCATCACTGATCTGGGGCAGCCCAACTAGCAAAACATAGTCACTGTTGCTCTTATTTGTGTTTTTATGACTGAGATTCAAAGAGTCTGAGCCCATTTTATCAATATTATTTTCTGAAGGCTTCAGTAATGAACTCACAGAGCTGCTCTTAATTTGCATAACTGGATATTCCAATGGAGATATTAATTCTGCTTCTTTTTGGTCTCTATTGCAACTAGTTTTGTTAAAACTAACTTCCTGTTCTCTAGTATTTTTCCTCCCTTTAAAGATTTTGTCCATCAGCATTTGTTCTAATTTAGGTTCATTTCTCTGGTTTGAGGATCTCTTTAGAGGTTGAATATCTGACATGTGATCCCTCAACATATCCTTTTTCATTATAGACTTGGAATGAAAATCGATATTTCCATTTTTAGTCTCTTCACAGTTGCTTTTTATGGCATTCTGTGTTCCACTGAAGTCTTCATGTTTTGGGGTCTGTGTAAAATTCTTGCACTTATATTCTTGAATCTCCAAGATCCCTGTTCCTGGATTCCACTTTTCACAACTGTCAGGCATTATTTTTAAGGCAAATTTGTCTTCTGGCATTGATAAACTGAAATATTTCATATTAGCTGGATTGTCAAAATTAGCACTGTCAGCAAGGTTTTTGTGTTTTTTGCTGTCTACAGTTGGCCACTTTAAATTATTTTTCTTTGTATCTGTCCACTCTTCATCTGAACTGTCACTGAGAGGAGCCCAAAAATAGCTTTCATTTTTATGCAAATCCCTTAGAGGAATACATGAATCATCTCTGTTGGATGCAAGATGAATGTTCTGCAAATTGGTTTCTCTTGTAGTGCTATGCTTGGAATTATTTACTATACATTCCTCCCAAATCTTGGTGGAAATTATAATATCTGGTCTTTCATTTCCATGCTTAGCTGCCTGGACAGAATTTAAAATTATGCTGGGAGGACATAAAGTATTATTATTTACCAAGGTCCCAGGAGTTTCTTGTTCAAAATTCTCTGAACTATTTTCAAAGATTACAGAACTGCTTAAAATATTGGCATGTAATAGCTTCAGATCAAAAGTGTCAGGCCTTTTATTTATGCTAGCTTTGCCCCTGCTATTTTGAACCATCTTTTTTAGTATGCAATGATCCAAGACAGACTGTCTACTTTCCTGTATGCTATCCCCAACGGGAGACTGATCAAGAAACAATTCTGTCCAGTTTACAACATCTTTGAGTTTTTGAGTCTCAGGGACGATACATTCTCTATGTAGTTCATTATTTAATCCTGAAATATATGTATTCCTTAAGCATTTGCTTTCTGCTGGTCCAGTTGTAGCTCTTGCTGTTTCTTCCTTTCTTTGACAGGTCACTTCAGAGAGCCTCCAAATGCTTGAATGCTTTTCTCCATTTACTGTTTTGCTAGGTTCTTCAAAGCCCATCTTAGCATCAGCTGTAGAATGCAATGAACAACTTCTGGACTGTATGGAATTAGGGTTGCTGTTATCATCAGTTGAGTAAGGCACTATATTTCCATAGCAAGTTACATGAGTACATGATACAGAGATTTCATGAACAGTCTCAGCAACAGATGGGTTTAATACCTTCTGAGACAGATATTCCATCTGTAGAAATAAAAAAACAGGTGCCGATTAAAGCTGTTTTAGGTGAAGATGAAAACTACTGCTGAGCCTCAGGGGTTAAAGGTTAGAAGTCTCAAATCTTGTCTCCCATAAACCCTTTGAGTTTACACACCCTGGCCTGCCTTGTTACTTTAGTGTAGCTGCTTCCTGGTTATTGTGACTACCATCTCCCTTCCAAAAGATGCTTTCGCCTGGCATCCTCCCCCTACCCCTGATATGTGAGACAGAAAGAAATCTCACAGCCTAGATGCCTTACCAGCAAATAAGGGGGAAAAAAATGAAAATAATGAATTAAAATCTCTAACCCCACTTTCTGACTATTTGAACTTTAAATGACTGGGGAAAACAGGCCCCTCTCTTGGAATTTAGATTGATATGACAAATTATAATTAAAATCATACTTTATTAAGAAGAGGAAAAAATAATATGCAAAGATTTCTTACTTTAAGTAGTCATATGTTGGAGGAAATTTTAAATTTAAAAAAAGAAAATAGTGCTGCTAAAACCATAAACGGTGCTTAAAGGAATCTGCTATAAAAAGCTATAAAGGAAAAGATAAGCTCACCATAGATTACAAGCTGAATTGCTGCTCAGAGCTCTCAAGAGGCATCAAATATACAACAGTTGAACTTGCATAATACCTTTTCGATTCAGCTTTATTTGGACTTACTTTTTGGTTATCTGGAAGTTCCAAGCTAAATTCTGCAGCTGAAGAAAAATAATTTTAGCCTTTCACTTCCCTTCATGCACAAAATGGCATACCTGTTTTTCTCCCACAGAAGAGTTTCCTGCCATCTCACCCAAAGATAAATAATTATCTCTTCCTAGGAGAGAAGAACTTGAGGATTTGACTCTGTATATGACAAAGTACAAGTCACATCAATGTTGGCAGATACTCAGACTGACACTGAATGTCTGTCATTTACACTGGTCAGCATCTGCGAGAAAGGCACATGGCAAAACATGTCACACTGTGATGCAAACTCCACTCATTTTGTACTTGTGTTGTGACATTGCACATAAATACCTAAGGGGCACAGCTTTTGTTATAATGTCAGGATGCAAATTTTATCATTTTCACAATACCTCCAGATGCTGCAGATTACATGGCTATGAAGCCCATGAATATGGGGTGAAGGGCTTATTTGCCCATTCACAACAGGCACAGACTCACATAATTATGTTCAGTTCAAACAACTGAGGCTGCACCTAACAGAAGTTAAAGTGGCAAAAAATATACTACTATAGATAAATCTCTACAAAGCATCACAAATCCTCATATTCTCTACATAAAACAATCAGCTCCATCTTTCTAAACCAATGGATACATATGGAGTAATAAGTATCTTGGAAGCTCTTACAAAATAATGCAAATGGATGTGGCCAGTCATGTATTTCTGAGAAGTGGGATGGGGGAACTTGCCTAAGAGCAAACTGATGTCTGATCTCCAAAACCATTCATAATAATTTAGTCAACAAGGTAAGTGTGGAGCACTGATGGTGTCTAAACCTAATACCCAGTCACAAAATTGCTGCTACAAAGCACAATACAACATACATTTTAAATTGTTTTTAAAACAATTTAAAAAGAGGCATAATAAATGACTAAGCAATAGCCACTCCAACCAAGGATTAAGAGAAGAATAGTCCAGCTAGGGGAATCTCCAGGAGAGTGAATAAAGTGGAAATGTCAATCACACCTGTGTGATTAAAGCTTAACCAATTTGTTTGGTGCGGCACATGTGACTGAATCAAAAGAACACCCTGTTGTCACACATGAAATCAGGTCCCCACCATTCAG